GATAGTCAATAAGGCTAAGATAAACTTGATCAAACTTAATGCAACTCCAGCTGTTAATCGGTTGATAATCAAAGTTCATCTACACTTTATTCATCTCCAATTTCTAGGCGCTGAGGTCCCGAGATTCCATGTGATTCGCTCTACAGATGCCCATCAACCGAGCATTCCCCTCACATCCGTATTCACGGAAAACCCCGACGATGTGCTCCAATTGACAGCCAGTTCTAAACCGGATTCAAACAAAATCCTTCACATTTCCAACTTGTTTCCTGAAAATCATCAATCAAATGGTTTCCTTGTTAAGCTTACTCACTTTCAAGCCTAATTCTTGAGTCCAACCTCATTCATTTCAATCTGTGTCTTCTCATCTTGTTCCAATTTGCCTTAGACAAAGTGCTTACAAAGTCCCACTCCTCGTCTAGTCCAATTTTACAATCCACTTTAATCAAATTGTTATTTTTTTCTAGAACATTGTCAATTTTACTTGATATTCAAAATATCTCATCTTTGTTTTAAAATTTCTCTAAAGAATCCACAGCCTGTGCGGGTTTTTTATACTTTTCCGTTTTCCACTAAAAGAAAAGTGATGTTTTTGGGATCGTTGGTGTTTTGAAATAAAAAATTAAAAGAAAATCGTTGACAGGACCAGCAACAAGTGCAGAATGACAAGGAAAACTTCTTCTTTGCAACTAAAACAAATTTGATTAAGCCAAGAAGCGTTTACGAGTTTTGTAAAACAAAAGAAATCCGGTGATTATCTTGGTACTCGATGGTATTTGAAAAATCGACTTACATGTAGGTATATTAGAAGTTTTACGCCAATTTATTTGACTATTTTGCTACAAAAACAGTCAGTCGATTTTAAAACATTATCATTCACCGAAGAATGCTTTCATTGGTATCCAGATCATTGAATTCTATTCCCTGGAGAAGTTCGACTCCATCCAATCTTTGTCAACCTTTGCATAAACTTACTTTTATCCATTCTTCAGCTTCGTAGCTTGTACTTGTACTTATTCTTGTACTAGAGTCTTCTCTCACTAATTTCTTTTCTAGAGGTCACCTTGTTTTCTAGGTTATTTGAAAATGACCGTCTTTGAACGTTCAGCTTTCAATTGATCAGCTTAATTTTAGTCAAATTCAATCTGCAAATCACAAGCCTCAAAAAATCAGACTAAAATCAAGGGAAAACTGGTAGGGGTAGTTTTCTAAAATAAATTTTTTTCTAAAAACATTACATGAACGCTGCAAACTACAAGATCAGACTACAACCGCTTGGAGAAATTCGGCTATTTTAAAGAATTATTTTTACCAAAAATTGAGCCAACTTTAGACTTTCGAATGGCACCAAGATCAGGCAAATCCAACGTCAAGTTTGGATTATTTTTTGTGGCACCACTGAGCACTTCTGGATAATTTTTTGAACTTATAGTTAATCAGAACCTTTTAATAAAATTTTTTCAGCAAAAGGGATTTCCCGCTTTCGGAGAGATCTGATTTTGGATAGAACGATAAGCCGCAAAAAAAGATTTACATCTCGATCTCGAAGAATCGTGAGATTCGGGAAAAGTGGCAAAGATTACTGCAGAAGGAAAATTGAATTACTTTGGCTTTAACTTTAACTTTTGCTTTTGCTTTACTTTTGCTCTAAGACTTCTAAAAGACTAAAAGAGTTCTTGAGCAGCTTTTAATGCAATTTGGCCTCAGATCAAGCTTTAGTTTTTGGTTGGTGACATTCAAAAACAAGCAAAAAGCTTCTGGCGTTCAAGTACAACATTTGATCAATGCGATCAATCAAGTGACCAATCAAGTGACCAATCAAGTGACCGGATCAATTCGCCAATACGATAGCTTAATATCAAATCAAATTTTGCTTTAGTAAAGAGTGTAATTACAAGCAATTTAGGTTAATTATTTGCCAATTACTGGCCTTAATCAGGAGTGAAAATTTGTGTACTTTTCAGAGCGATTTTTATCTATCGTAGACCCGTCGAATCAATTTTAAACCGTGTTTTTTGAAAAAAGTCCAAAAAATGACTCTAGAAGTGGGCTTTTCGGAATTTATTTAACGGTTCTCACAGAGTTTTTGGGATCGTAGGTGTTTTGAAATAAAAAATTAAAAGAAAATCGTTGACAGGACCAGCAACAAGTGCAGAATGACTTTGTCTTTGCTTTGTCAGAGTGCTTTGTCAACCTTTGCATAAACTTACTTTTATCCATTCTTCAGCTTCGTAGCTTGTACTTGTACTTCTTTCATTAAAACAAAGTAAAGATTAGTTAAACCAAAGCAGCAGGGCTTCTAAACGGCCAGAGCTTCTTAAGGAGGGGATCTCCATTTCGGCGTTGTTTATCTGTGAGAACCGTTAAATAAATTCCGAAAAGCCCACTTCTAGAGTCATTTTTTGGACTTTTTTCAAAAAACACGGTTTAAAATTGATTCGACGGGTCTACGATAGATAAAAATCGCTCTGAAAAGTACACAAATTTTCACTCCTGATTAAGGCCAGTAATTGGCAAATAATTAACCTAAATTGCTTGTAATTACACTCTTTACTAAGCAAAATTTGATTTGATATTAAGCTATCGTATTGGCGAATTGATCGGTCACTTGATTGGTCACTTGATTGGTCACTTGATTGATCGCATTGATCAAATGTTGTACTTGAACGCCAGAAGCTTTTTGCTTGTTTTTGAATGTCACCAACCAAAAACTAAAGCTTGATCTGAGGCCAAATTGCATTAAAAGCTGCTCAAGAACTCTTTTTTAGTCTTTTAGAAGTCTTAGAGCAAAAGTAAAGCAAAAGCAAAAGTTAAAGTTAAAGCCAAAGTAATTCAATTTTCCTTCTGCAGTAATCTTTGCCACTTTTCCCGAATCTCACGATTCTTCGAGATCGAGATGTAAATCTTTTTTTGCGGCTTATCGTTCTATCCAAAATCAGATCTCTCCGAAAGCGGGAAATCCCTTTTGCTGAAAAAATTTTATTAAAAGGTTCTGATTAACTATAAGTTCAAAAAATTATCCAGAAGTGCTCAGTGGTGCCACAAAAAATAATCCAAACTTGACGTTGGATTTGCCTGATCTTGGTGCCATTCGAAAGTCTAAAGTTGGCTCAATTTTTTGGTAAAAATAATTCTTTAAAATAGCCGAATTTCTCCAAGCGGTTGTAGTCTGATCTTGTAGTTTGCAGCGTTCATGTAATGTTTTTAGAAAAAAATTTATTTTAGAAAACTACCCCTACCAGTTTTCCCTTGATTTTAGTCTGATTTTTTGAGGCTTGTGATTTGCAGATTGAATTTGACTAAAATTAAGCTGATCAATTGAAAGCTGAACGTTCAAAGACGGTCATTTTCAAAACTAGGTGACCTAGAAAACTAGGTGACCTCTAGAAAAGAAATTAGTGAGAGAAGACTCTAGTACAAGAATAAGTACAAGTACAAGCTACGAAGCTGAAGAATGGATAAAAGTAAGTTTATGCAAAGGTTGACAAAGATTGGATGGAGTCGAACTTCTCCAGGGAATAGAATTCAATGATCTGGATACCAATGAAAGCATTCTTCGGTGAATGATAATGTTTTAAAATCGACTGACTGTTTTTGTAGCAAAATAGTCAAATAAATTGGCGTAAAACTTCTAATATACCTACATGTAAGTCGATTTTTCAAATACCATCGAGTACCAAGATAATCACCGGATTTCTTTTGTTTTACAAAACTCGTAAACGCTTCTTGGCTTAATCAAATTTGTTTTAGTTGCAAAGAAGAAGTTTTCCTTGTCATTCTGCACTTGTTGCTGGTCCTGTCAACGATTTTCTTTAATTTTTTATTTCAAAACACCAACGATCCCAAAAACATCACTTTTCTTTTAGTGGAAAACGGAAAAGTATAAAAACCCGCACAGGCTGTGGATTCTTTAGAGAAATTTTAAAACAAAGATGAGATATTTTGAATATCAAGTAAAATTGACAATGTTCTAGAAAAAAATAACAATTTGATTAAAGTGGATTGTAAAATTGGACTAGACGAGGAGTGGGACTTTGTAAGCACTTTGTCTAAGGCAAATTGGAACAAGATGAGAAGACACAGATTGAAATGAATGAGGTTGGACCCAAGAATTAGGCTTGAAAGTGAGTAAGCTTAACAAGGAAACCATTTGATTGATGATTTTAAGGAAACAAGTTGGAAATGTGAAGGATTTTGTTTGAATCCGGTTTAGAACTGGCTGTCAATTGGAGCACATCGTCGGGGTTTTCCGTGAATACGGATGTGAGGGGAATGCTCGGTTGATGGGCATCTGTAGAGCGAATCACATGGAATCTCGGGACCTCAGCAAGTTTTTGAAAACGTGGAAACATCCATTTTTTGGCTATGCTGCCCTTTACTAAAATAGCTGTAAAAGCTTTTAGAAAAGAGATATCTCAAAAAGGTTTTTCTACCAATCGATCTATCTTGGATTCAGCTTTAGCATGAGCTATAAAACGTCAAAATTTGAAAAATTCAAGGTACACTCCCAAAAATTCGGAAAGAACTTTTCAACCCAATATCAATTAATCTAATGATAATTGCTCATTAAGCATTCATCAATACTATTCTCCTCTCTTCTAAGAAGTTGTGCATAAAAGTTTTGCACAACTAATTTTTGCACAACACAAGTTTTCCGTAACTCCTATATCTTTTTTTGAGTCTTTCGAAAGGTTTGTGCTGGGAGGTGCAACGGAGTATGTAGAATTTTTTGCTTATTAAAGACGGAAATCGTTTATAGAAGAAAAAGAAAAACACTATCGCAGGTGATCTGCCTCGTTTGATAAGAAAACGAATCGATACGGCAACGAAACTGTAAACTGTTTTGGCGTTCTTAAAAACAGAACACTTCCGGCAGCAAATAATCGAGAATTTGTTAGGTTGGATAAACTCAGTTCAACCCATTAGCTTTATTCGAAAAAGGTTAAAACACTATCCCAATAAACCCATAAAATATAAATTAACATGTCAATGAGGGGCTAATCGTCTTGCTCGCTTGCTGCAGGGAGCCAACCACGACACTTCTTTTCATCGCACCTATAAATTTTTCAAAACAGTAAACCAGAAAATGGAATCATCACTCACCAACATTTGGTCCTTCCTTTCTTTGAGTTCTTTGGCTTAACGGTTGTAGGATAGTAGTTAAGGGTGAGTTCCTCGCCTAAAAATTATCTCTATCAAGTAAAAAATTATTCGCTTACCCGGCTCAATATCACGCATGGAGTAGAGACCGATCCGAAAATCGTGTTCGGAATATTTATTCGTGATCACAAGTTTCGCTAGCAAATTTTGATTGCACGAATGATTTATGAATCTGGTTTCATTTCCGAGGCTTGTGGCGTCGATCACCTGATCCTGGATGAATCTGGTCGGAATTTGTTGTCGAGCTTTGTGATTGCCGTCGCAAGACTGAATTGGTATTTTGTGTGTTTGTTTTGGCGTTTGGCTTCCGCAAAAGTGATCACCTGAAGGAACTTGATAAATTTAAACTGTGCGCGCTTTTCAAACCTCTCCGACGTATTCACCGACAAAAACATTCTTTGGAATTTTGAAAATTGTGCGAAGACCCCAGCCTTTCCTTCCTTCCCAAAATAGCACCAACGGTATCTGTCTCCCTTCCTGAATTTTTTTGATTGCTAATTTACATAAACAACAACCTGCAGCACTCGTTGACGACACATTATGGGATCACATTTGCAATGCTCTCCACACTCAACTACTACGTCACAACTAGAGTTTGCCGAGTTGAGTTTCCGGATGGCCTTTGGTTTTGTTCCACTTTTGTAACTTTGTGCAACATGATGCTAAAGGAAAAGTAAGAAAAATAGTTTTCATGATACCGAGGCACAGCAATTAATTGCACCCTTGCATTCGCAAGCTTTGTTGCAGCCAAGATCGTTCGGACGAATATTCTTTAAAGTTTTCACAGCATCCTCAGAGTGGCGATTTTTGGTGATATACTAAACAAAAAATTATCAAAGCCATCCAAGGTTCAAGCTCAAAAAAGAAAATCTTCACCTTAAAGCGAGGCATCGCTTTCCAATCGCCTGACCAGTTTTCGATGAAAATTTTGGCTGCCTTTCCATCAATAATTGTGTTCCAGTTGAATTCCCTTTTAAGCAGTAGCCATCGCCATTTTGCATCTTTTAGCTGGAGGAAAAACCGGGGAAGCTAAAGCATAAACTAATTTCAACATTGAACTTTAAACTGACTCTTTTTGCTTATTGAGGAGCTTCTTTATCACTCGGCGGGCGACATTCCTCAATCGAGCAAATTTAAGCTAAATTTTTGTTGGAAATTGGTGACCACTCAAAAATAGCTATAACCATCGAATTTTCTTTGAAATCTAATAGATAAAATTATTTGTGTACTTGTATTAAAGGTGGTGAAAAACTGCTAAGTAATGAATAATTCGATTCCTTTCCAGTACTGTACTGCAAGTTCGCGAAGGATGGCTCAGGCTAAGCCCCATGGAGGGCTCGTCCCACTTACCCCGTCCCGGACCCGCTTAAGTGCACGAGCACGACCTCGCCCAATGTGTTATACTTTAAGACTAAAAATAAGTAAAAATTATTTTCCTTACTGTACCTTTTCTGGTGCTTTAAACTGTCTTCCAGAAACCCATGTGGACGCTTCAGATGAACAACCTGCCCATTTGACAAGGTAAATATTCTAAAACTCATTGCTTGAATTAGTATCATAAAAAAATTTTACCTTGCCACCCTTTTTCTGCATATCAGCTATATAGTCTACCTAAAATTTATTTAATTTGAAATTTCTAAGGATGCGTTCTAGGATCCTGCTTCCCCATATAAAAAAATCGTGCTAAGCACCTTCATCAATACTCCATCCAATTGCTTCTGTACACGCTTGAATTGCGACTTGGCGTCGTTAGTAATCTTTCTGGTCGTCTTGCTCTTTTCCCGTTTTGTCTAAACAATTCTTTTTACTAAGGCAACTTTAAAGTTATGCTTTCAGTTTAGACTGAATTTTATGATGGTTCTGTCATCAAATGTTAGAAGCCTAAAGGTAATCGGGTTTTGTGATTGTGGAGCCTATCGATGTTGGTCTCACCGCCTTTAGCGGCTGTGGCTCTGGGTGCTGCAGTCAGGCCCATACGCAACTTTGACACGGTGGCGGTGCGGAGCCAAATCCTGGGCTAACAATAAAAAGGCTAACTTAAAAATGTTTTCTGGTAGTCGATGTTATCAATCACCCTAGAAAACGCACATTGAAACATTTTTGGCTGCCCGTCCCCAACCGCCTTAGTTCCCAAGTTTTGAATGCAAAATTTAAAAGATAAATTTTTAAAACGTAGACTAACCGTTTGTAACATTGGATTTTGACGTCGCTTCTTTCCGGCAGCAGTCTCTCGCGCAGACTAAAAGAAAACAAATAATCAGTTGCCGGCACATAATCAACTGTGATAATTTTACCAAAATTAGGAACCGGAGATGGAAAAGCGTAAGCGAATACCTCATCTTCATCGTTGCTTCTATCGCTGTCCGCCGTTCTTTGTTCTTTCGCTCGTTGTCGCCGATGTACTCTCTTCTTGCCGGCTTTGCTGACAACCGGCTTTGACTCCTCTTTGACGCTTGACATGGATCTAAAATTAAAGCAAATCGTAAGAAAACAAGGAAAATAATGATCATAAATAAAGTGGCTGAAAAGGAAATTTCAAAATCTGAAGAAAGAAGCAACCAATAATAAAATTTGTTTGGAGTAATAACTTAGCTTTTTGGATTTTTTAATCTTTTTCGTTATTGTAGCACTACACTAGGTTATTTCGTTGCTAGGTGTTTAAAGTCCTGAGACCGTTGCATAACTTTTTTCACTTAGTTTCTATATCTTAGTTTCTAAGGAAAAAAAAGAGAAGACAAGAGAAGGCAAGGCAACATTTGCTGTCTTTCAGTGGATTTCTTTTAGACTTTGAGAGTCAAACATCTAAATCGAAAAAATCATTTAAGTAAATTTTCGCTACAAGATGTTGCACCTTATTTTTTGTTTTTTAGCCTTACGTTTTATATTCTTGTAGAAATCATGCAACGTCGAATGTAATGAGAATCCAAAAATAGAGAGATTTATTTTTGCAGCTTTTAATCTCAAGGCAAGGATGAAGTCCGCGATTTACCTGGCTGCCTAGCAACAGTCCGGTTCTAATGTTTGCTATTAATTGGGGACTTTTTGTTAGTCTAAAAAGTTGGCCGAAAATTCTTTGGACACTTTGTCATAAATCTGTTTTTTAAGCTTATGAATTGATTAATAGTTTGCTTCAAATAGAAGATTTTTATTGCTATAAAACGTATAAAAGATATCAAGCGCGAGAGAATTTGAACCGATAAAGATTGAAGAAAAAGATCACCATGAGATTATTTATTATTAGAGATTAATGTTTTCAAAAACGAACATGTTGCGGGCTGTGCATTGGCAGATGAATGGGTGGCGGTGGCTGGAGCGGTTGCTGTCGTCGGGGTGTCCGATGAATGGGATTCGATCGATTGTTTGCCCCGATCCTGTGCGATGAATTGTGAAGGCCAGGCCGATTCTGAAATGAGTGGTCATAGATCTCTAGCTCGAAGTGGACTTATATTCTCGCTTAAATTGAGAATATAAGTCTTCGCGCTGTCGCCTTTTTTTGACTATCCGACTTCATGCCTACATAAAAAACTATAGAATATAAACTTTATAATACTAAACTAATGCTAAACTAAACTAATAATACTAAAAAATAAATTTTCCTTAGATTTCTTTATTCTGTTCTAAAAATAATAGGCCTTTCTAATGCAGCAAGTATTAGATTAATTGATATTGGGTTGATGGAAAAGTTCTTTCCGAAATTTTGGGAGTGTACCTTAAATTTGCCAAGTTTTGACGTTTTATACTTATGCTAAAGCTGAATCAATACAGATCGATGGGTACAAAAATTGTCTTGAGTTATCTCTTTTCTAAAAGCTGCCAGAGCATGCCCCAGCCGAGTGTCCAATATGTATTTGGCTTGAATCATTTATAGATAAATATTTATATAAATCCTTTATTCAGAAAGAAATAAAGTGCGAAAACGCATTAATAAAATCTATTATATTAGATAAGTTGCATATTAATTTGTCTTCTTTATTTCTCTAACTTTAATCGAAGGAAAATATCCAATCGATTGGCCTTGTATCAGAGCGGTTGATTTGTGTAATGGAAATCGAGATTGTCCAAATGGTGAAGATGAGGAACCGAACATGTGCATGTTTTATTCTTTGGTTCGTTTTAGTTTAATGCTAGAACTTTAAACGAATGTCTGTAATGGTAGTCCAGTTAAAAGCCTTTCCTGGTGTTGGAATCCAGTTAAAAGCCTTTAAAGGGGAAGATTTATCCATTTAAATTTGTATTTTTATGATTCAAATATTTAGCTTTAAAGTAAAGAGATTTCATCGAGCTTTCAAGCTTTTAAACTTTCAAAACAAACATAAAAATCTCAATTTTCAGAATCAAGGATCATTGCGTCAATTGCAGCTGGACTTTTTGAGATTCAGTGAACACCCTCTGAATTCGTGAAAATGAAGTCTGAGCCATATACGGCTGAGTTTGAAGGTAAAACAACAACGACAATAATGATCAATGATTGACAGATTATCAACAAATCTATAAAAAGCCCAACAAAATTATTAAAACCCTAGGGTTTAAGTTAGGTTAAGCTAAGACTCGGCTGCACCAGGAAGAGACAAGCAGCTCAAAGAAGATCCAAGGCCTGGCTCTAGCTTTGTCTGGTTTACAGGGAAAATCCAGTTAAAAGCCTTTCCTGGTGTTAGAATCCAGTTAGAAACCGTTCTTTGCTAGAATCCAGTTAAATCATTCACTTTAGATAAACTCAAGCTAAACTATCAAAATTTAACTGAAAACATTTACAGAATTCGACTAACGTTTGGAATGATCTCCTTTTTCACCTCGAATTACTCCAAATCGGCTCTCTTACTAGAATTCATAGAATTGTTGTCGAATTTTCTTTCTCTCTGCACAAAAAAGATTTTTGGAATTGTCGCTTTCTTTCTTTTTATTGATTCATCACTTTCTCGCTGAACAAATGCAAATGTTAATCATTCCTTGTCCGAATACGAAACATATATAAAAGAACTTCAGAAATGGACTAGAAAGCGTGTGTTTCGAGCACAAAATATACTTGAAGAACACAACTTCTTTGTAAACAACTTTGACTTTGAAACAAGAATTGAGTCTATTTTGCTAGCTTAAGTAAGCTAGGAAAAAAAAAAAAATTTTATTTTCGAAATCTCGAAAGACGACGAGACTTAAATGTCAGCTGCTTGTTAGACGTGTCAACCTTAGGTGTGACAGCTGCTTGTTAGCTATGTCAGCTGCTTGTTAGGCGTTAAATCTTTTCATGTAGGGCTCCTATATCTTTGTTGGTGTGCTGTGGCCAGATATCTTTGTCAAGCAATTTATAGTATCAAAGTCATTATAAACGTATCATGGTAAGCTTTCTGAGTGGTTTGCTCCAATAAAAATTAACAATTAAACAGACAAACAGAAATGAAACCAGCTCCAAATTTTTGAATTCGAAGCCCGCAACATTGAAATTTTAGCCTCAGCTTTTGAAATTTTCCATTTGCTACAAACACTTGAAGTACACGGTCCCAATCTCGTTCAAACTTACTAATAAAATATTTGTTCAATGGTGTTTTTTGGCACCCCGGGACGATCACCACAAAGCAGAGTGTAATGGAGTACATCGCAGGCACCATCTCTACCGAAAACTCTTTGCGAATCCAAAGTACGGCTAAAAAGTTCACTTTGTAGGTCAAAATCATGTCCGAAAGTTGCATATAAAATGGCTTTATTTTGTCATAAGCTAGATCTTCTATCTTAACATTTCTCTTTCAGTTTCTACGGCATCGGCGAGCTCTCGGAGAAGTCAGTTTGTCACTACTTGACGACGACCGTCGACGAAGTTATTGCTGATCTATTGGAAAGCAAATGTATCACGTTGGATGAGCTACATCATTTCTACAATATAAGTTGGAGTATCTTGCATTTTTGTATTGAAAGTTTAGATGAGGAACATCACGGACAAGCTGAACCAAGATAAGGGACGCTTGCGATTAAGAAGTATTAAAATTTGATAATTTGATTTGCCTCTGCGTCACCTGCTTTCCTTCAGCGATGGGCAACACGAGAGCTTCATATCCTATGTGGTATCTGTCTGTTTGTATCCTGTTTCTCGGTGTCCTCTCATTTTTCGAAAAAAAAAACAAAGCACGTACGGTTGACGTCACGTCAATCTTCAATTTTCACGTCATTCCAAGCACTCCTTTCACTAATATTTTCCAAACGATTCTGCAATCGATCCTTTTTTACTTAAAATTTTAGAGATTTCTTTGATTCGTTTCTTATCAGTGTATTTTTGAAAAGAAAAGGAAGGCAAAGAGAAGAGAAATTAACGAGCGAACACAAGAATGGAACCACAACATCTCGGTCTAGCAATGATACATCAACACGATCAGGTGAGAAGAAATATGATTTAACAAACAAATCATATACCCTTATCTATCTTTATGTCTACCACTACCAGCTAGCTGCTTACAGTTTTTTCCAGGAGAGCCTTTGTGACGAGATTTACTAGTATATAAGAATCAAGAATTTATTAAGATCGCTTCTGATATTCTGGTCTGCGTCTGGTTTAATTTAAATCAGCTCACAAGGGTTAGAAGATTTCTTATGCTTGCTATGAAAACAAACAGGAACGAAACGACTTGACTTGGGTGCTTTTTGAAAATCTGTTATTGTCTCCAAACTCGTTAAAGATTGACCCGATTCGCCAAATTCGCCCAGGTCTCCGCCTCGATTCGGTCGATGATCGTCCAATTCCGCTACATCTCGGGGTAATAAAGCTTTTCCTGAATTGATAAATTCCCGATTTTTCCTGTGATAAAGCAAGATTCCCTTTCAGAGGTACGAAGTGGGACAACGAATGCAATAATCTCTTCCTTTTTCTACTTAGAAAGCTTAGAAAGTCATTCCAGACATTTTGCTTTAAAATAACACCTGTCTTTTTCTATACTTTCTATTACTGTTGTCAAAAAACAATTGAAATTAATTAAAAATCCAATTTTTAATTAGCTTAGCAAAAAAAATCCAATCGAAAACCAGTAGATTTTGGCTTTATTCTTTTAACAAGGTAAAATCCAAGGTTTTTAGAGCAATTTTAATTTAAAATTTGAAGCAAATTTAAAAAGCAATTTGTCTAAGAGAGTTTATTTTATTTGTATCAGATCTTATAGAGTTTGTATAAGAGATATTTTAAGATTTGCTAAAAAAATATGCGAACAAAACATAAAAAATAATGCCGTTAGCATCGCTCGTTTCTGATAAATGAGAGCTGATACCCATCGGGCAGTTTCTTTTGCACCACCCTAATAGGAGTGCTTAGTCATGCCAAAAATAATCCCAAACTTGATGGTGGATTTTGGTGCCTTTTCGAGAGTCTGAATGTGCTTCTTCTCGAGTCTTGGATGCCTTTGCGAAAAGGAAGATTTTTAACAACTTTTCCTTGCCAATTCCTTCATTTTATCGGCTCATTGATAGTCAATAAGGCTAAGATAAACTTGATCAAACTTAATGCAACTCCAGCTGTTAATCGGTTGATAATCAAAGTTCATCTACACTTTATTCATCTCCAATTTCTAGGCGCTGAGGTCCCGAGATTCCATGTGATTCGCTCTACAGATGCCCATCAACCGAGCAAATCCCGTCACATCAGTATTCACGGAAAACCCCGACGATGTGCTCCAATTGACAGCCAGTTCTAAACCGAATTCAAACAAAATCCTTCACATTTCCAACTTGTTTCCTTAAAATCATCAATCAAATGGTCTCCTTGTTAAGCTTACTCACTTTCAAGCCTAATTCTTGAGTCCAACATCATTCATTTCAATCTGTGTCTTCTCATCTTGTTCCAATTTGCCTTAGACAAAGTGCTTACAAAGTCCCACTCCTCGTCTAGTCCAATTTTACAATCCACTTTAATCAAATTGTTATTTTCTTCTAGAACATTGTCAATTTTACTTGATATTCAAAATATCTCATCTTTGTTTTAAAATTTCTCTAAAGAATCCACAGCCTGTGCGGGTTTTTTATACTTTTCCGTCCACTATGATGTTTTTGGGATCGTTGGTGTTTTGAAATAAAAAATTAAAAGAAGAAATTACAAGTGCAGAATGACAAGGAAAACTTCTTCTTTGCAACTAAAACAAATTTGATTAAGCCAAGAAGCGTTTACGAGTTTTGTAAAACAAAAGAAATCCGGTGATTATCTTGGTACTCGACGGTATTTGAAAAATCGACGTACATGTAGGTATATTAGAACGCCAATTTATTTGACTATTTTGCTACAACAACAGTCAACCAAATTTAAAACATTATCATTCACCAAAGAAGGCTTTCATTGGTATCCAGATCATTGAATTCTATTCCCTGTAGAAGTTCGACTCCATCCAATCTTTGTCAACCTCTGCACAAAAACTTACTTTTATCCATTCTTCAGCTTCGTAGCTTGTACTTGTACTTCTTCTTGTACTAAAGTCTTCTCTCACTAATTTCTTTTCTCGAGGTCCTCTAGTTTTGAAAATTAATGTCTTCAAACTGATAGCTTTCAATTGATCAGCGCAATTTTAGTCAAATTCAATCTGCAAATCACAAGCCTCAAAAAATCAGACTAAAATCAAGGGAAAACTGGTAGGGTAGTTTTCTAAAATAAATTTTTTTCTAAAAACATTACATGAACGCTGCAAACTACAAGATCAGACTACAACCGCTTCGATTGAGTGTCGTTTCTCAAAAAAAGAACTTTTTACGTAATATTTTAGCACAAAAATTCATATTTTTCGAATTTTTGCAATGTAGCAATGATTACGGCAACTTTACAAATTACCCACTATTTGGAACACTACTGTAACCCCGAAAACGCGTCACTCGCACAGAATCCTATTCTAGATTCCCCAAATTATTCTCAATAAAAACAATATTTTTCCAGGCTTTATGCACTGCAGACGAGTGTGAGCGGATTTTACACTGTCGAAATGCGTTCTTCGTCTTTCTCGCTGGGAGGAGAAACGCTGGGCTGAAGATGATGAAGATGATGGGGATTTTGAATGAAAGCCAAGATCAATATTTGTAGTTATTTATTGTCTTTCAAAGAAACGGGTTCTTTTTGGAAAACCAAATCATCTCAATTGTTAGATCACCAGTGAAACTGTGGAACTATCTGGGTGCGCCGTAAGAAAAAGTGCATCTTGCATACGGCACGCCCGGATAGTCCCACAGAGACCCCGAAATTCGGTTTAATTAGCCAAGGGTTAATTGCCTCGGATTTTTGGCAATTAAGGCAATTAACCCTTGGGCTCTGGCTTCCTTATATCTTTATTGTGAATTTGAAGAAGCCAAAGCCATTTCCAGAGTCGTCTATCGTACCTGACTTAAAGGAATTGAAAATGGGAAGAATTTTTATATTAAAATAGAGCCAACTTTTAACGTTTTTTTCTGAATTTACATAATTTTGTGGTCTTGTCAAATATTAGCCAGCTAACAACTAACAAACCAGTTTTCTATTGCTTTAAATCTTACTTTTGCCCGTTATATGTATGATATGTACAATTTTTTGTAACTTATCTATAAATATTTCTCATTGTTTACCAGAAAACACGTGTTTACTATCAAAAGCGCTAGATAGCAAGGCGAAAGCGGTTGCGTCGCGTCTTTCAAAAAGAGAACCACTGCCAAGTTTTTCTTTTTGCCGAAACCAAGCCAAAAAGATTTTCTTCTTTATTTATTATAATCTGTAAATTCATTTCAATGAATGAATTCCCGGTCGAAGCATTGCCCCTATTGCTGAAGCTGAATATCTTCGTGCTACTCTCTACAAATGAGAAAGTGCTGATCAGGGGGATCAATTCAGTGAGTGAAAATTAGGAAATGGAAAGAAACCTATTCTTTTCACTCTTTTACTTTCATTGATTCATTGATTTGGATTGATTGATCATTGATTTGGATTGATTGATTCATTGATTGATTTGGATTGATTGATTCATTGATTGATTGATTGATTTGGATTGATTGATTATTTTAACTGAAATAGTCTTTGACTTTAAACCAAAAAACGTTCATAACATCAAATTCTAGGGCACAAAAGATTTGGTGAATAAAGTGGGTCTGTTGCCGCGAAAAATCGATCAAGCACACCTCAGCGGCACGCAAAATCAGGTAAAAAACATTGAATAAATTACCTAAAAATCAAATTTGTCCAAGGAAAATGAGATTGATTTAAGATTGATTGCATTAATATTCTAAAATAGAGATTTTACTATTAAACCATGAAAATGTGAGGATCTCAGGTGAAAATCAGACTCTGGAACAGTCGCGATGGACATTTCGCGATCTCCTTCAGTAGGAATACAGATGGAACAGAAGAGGAAATCAAAATCACCCACTCGCAACTGTTTGGGTAAATTTCAACTTCATTCATTCATTGATGAGTTTTTTTCTGCAGTGGAAACAAGAATTTTCTGATCACTGAAGACTTTGACGAGAGATTTGTGATCTTTCAATTGACAAAAACGATTCGACCCCGTTTACTCCGAGTGCATACCTTCGCAATTGAAAACCCCTATGATGTTTTTGGGATCGTTGGTGTTTTGAAATAAAAAATTAAAAGAAGAAATTACAAGTGCAGAATGACAAGGAAAACTTCTTCTTTGCAACTAAAACAAATTTGATTAAGCCAAGAAGCGTTTACGAGTTTTGTAAAACAAAAGAAATCCGGTGATTATCTTGGTACTCGACGGCATTTGAAAAATCGACGTACATGTAGGTATATTAGAACGCCAATTTATTTGACTATTTTGCTACAACAACAGTCAACCAAATTTAAAACATTATCATTCACCAAAGAATGCTTTCATTGGTATCCAGATCATTGAATTCTATTCCCTGGAGAAGTTCGACTCCATCCAATCTTTGTCAACCTCTGCACAAAAACTTACTTTTATCCATTCTTCAGCTTCGTAGCTTGTACTTGTACTCTCTGTCGAGTCTTCTCTCACTAATTTCTTTTCTCGAGGTCCTCTAGTTTTGAAAATTAATGTCTTCAAAAGTTCAGCTTTCAATTGATCAGCGCAATTTTAGTCAAATTCAATCTGCAAATCACAAGCCTCAAAAAATCAGACTAAAATTGGGCTAAAGGGAAAACTGGTAACGGTAGTTAGAAGTTTTATACTAATTTATTTGACTATTTTGCTACAACAACAGTCAACCAAATTTAAAACATTATCATTCACCAAAGAATGCTTTCATTGATATCCAAATCATTGAATTCTATCACATGGAGAAGTTCGACTCCATCCAATTTTTGTCAACCTTTGCATAGACCTACGTTTATTGATTCTTCTCACTAATTTTCTTTCTAGAGGTCACCTAGTTTTGAAAATGACTGTCTTCGAACGTTCAGCTTTCAATTGATCAGCTTAATTTTAAAATGCTATCTTTTCTACCCCATAAAACGCTATTAGACTGTAATCTTTAGGCAAAACATACCATTTCTTTCTCGGGAAAAGACCCAACAAAGGTTCGGCTTTTTTTCATTAAAGGCTTACCAAATTACTAATTTAGGTTGATCGTTCGGCTGCTTATGGAGCCAGATACAATTTACAATTTTTTTACAATTTTATACAGTTTATAAATATAAATAATTTTAAAATAGGGTGCATAATATTTCTTTTTAGGTGTCGTATGCAATTGGGATGGCGGAGCCACTGTCGGTGACCGTCATCCCGTACAATACATCGCCGCTTTCTGAGGAGGAATTCCTGGCGATCGTAGGGCTAGGGCTTGAGAAGATGCGAAATAACAGAGGCGGCTAGTGGACATATCATTGTTTCTTTTCGTGACCAGCTACAGTCACTCTATTAGAAAAAGCAGTTCCAGATTTGTTAGTTTTCTCAGATTAAATTTTTGAAAACCACCGTACTCCAGCTACTTTCAATATTTTTTGTGAACGCTGAGAATCTGCCGAAAATTGGATAAAACCACGGGCTATGACAACTTTCTCAAGTTGATGCCTTTTCGAAAACTATTTAATCCTGTTCGATTACCGGTTAGAATTACAATCAGCAATCCTCAGTATTTATCCAAAACCAAATTACAAAACGATTTCAGATCTGTGAAATGTGTTACTACGACAACCTCGTATCAGCAAGAGACGAGCAACAAGTCATTTAATATTTCGCGCTTTTCCTATCAATTTCTTTCACCTTTGCTCTCTCACAGCTAGCAAACAATTGGCCACCAAGGCTGCCCGCAAGAACAGGAAGAAGAAGAACAAGAAGAACAAGAACAAGAAGAACAAGAACAAGAAGAACAAGAAGAACAAGAAGAACCAGAAGAGCAAGAAGAAGAACAAGAGCAAGAACAAGAACAAGAACAAGAACAAGAACAAGAACAAGAACAAGAACAAGAACAAGAACAAGAACAAGAACAAGAACAAGAACAAGAACAAGAACAAGAAGATGAACAAGAAGAAGAACAGAAACAGAAACAGAAGAAAAATATTAGAAACTTGAAAGGTAAAATGTGATGGGGAGACGGAGGGGATCGAGATTTTTATCCATTTTTATCCATTTTTATCCTCCATTTCACTGTCTCATTTTTCCGTCCGTAGACGTAAACCTTTCGAGAAAAGAGAAATTCACATTTTCTTGAATGTTTTTGCTTTGGTTTTATCTGAAATTTGTGAATGAGTCTAGAGGTTTGGAATTTGAATGAATTTTGTAGAATCTTAACATTTCTTCTTGCAGTAATGTGTATTTTTTTGCGTTTCTTTCTGAAGAGTTTACTTTTTAATCGACTGGCAGTTAATAAAATACAGCGAAAGCAAAATAATTTAATAAAACAAATCGCTCGAGACAGAAAACTTTGATATAACTTTGAACGTGTTTTTAACTTCAATTTTTCAAAATTTCAAACGATATAACTTCAAATTTTCTACGTAACTGCTGGCCGTAACCGATTGCATTTGGCCGGGGCAGCTACGCACAAATTTTGGATACTTTTTAAGATTTCAAATTCTTTGTCTCGAAGTTCGATTGGATCTCAAAATTGTGCAAAAAAAGGAATGACGATAGATTTGGTGAAAAATAGAAAAGATTAAATTAGATTACGAAGAAAATAAAAAAGGATCTATATAAATGTAGTTAAGTTGATCTAGTTAATTTACGCTAGATAAATTAATCTAATTAAATGTTTATCATAGGAAATTTGTTGTAAATGCTGTAGATCAATTTTTTCTGAAATGATCCACCTAAATTTTTATGATTCAAAACCGGAAACTGTCGAAATTGGGCGGTGATTTGGGAGATAATCGACAAAAAATCTCCGTTGAAATTCTCGGGCACAAAAACCGTGTCAAAACCCTGGAATTTGATGATTTAATAGTGGTAGATCTAGTGATAGATCTAGTGATAGCTCTGGTGATAGATCTGGTTATAGACCTAGTGATAGATCTGGTGATAGATCGAGTGATAGATCTGGTGATAGATCTAGTGATAGATCTGGTGATAGATCTGGTGATAGATCTGGTCTGGTGATAGATCTAGTGATAGATCTAGTGATAGATCTGGTGATAGATCTGGTGTCCGGTTATAGATCTAGTGATAGATCTGTTGATAGATAATGGTGATAGCTGATAATAAGTATGGTGATAGATAAGTAAGGCATATCAAATCATAACTTTGAGCTTAAGCTGGTCAAATGTAAGCTAAAAGTTTGACAACACTGATTTTATCAACATTGTTCAACACTGTTTCTCTGTTTCTCAACACTGTTCTGAATTTGAATTTTTTATATCAAGTCCAGGCTAGACTCAGAGAAGCTAGTTTTAAAACACCATTCACTGATCCATTCATCAGATAATAAAGTTAAATAGACTTCAAATAGAGTTAATAGATTTAGATTTAATAGATTTCATTTAATAAATAAATAAAGTCTATTATATTAGGTTGATGCATAAGTCTTTTCGTTTTTTCGTACTTCTGTTAAAAAGTAACAAATTCACCAATTAATCTATAGCTTGCTCTATAAAAAAGTGTTTTTTGTTCAAGTTGCATCTTTTTATCTTGCATCGTTGCATCTTGCATCTTTTTCGGTTCACTTTCAAGCAAATTCGAGAGGGAAAACGCCTTCTCCGTAAAAATCTATAAAAAACTCTACGGAAAAATTGGCTGAATGAATTTCTCTGAAATTTGGCGAAATATCAAACATTTTTTTTCTCTATCTTTTATCTATTGACACGAAGATAGATTTTCTTTAGCTAAGGTGTCTAAACAGCATCATCGAGTTGGCCCTTTTTGACTACCCGACTTCATACTCTCAAGAAAATCCAGGCATTAAATATTTTTAAACCCGTTTTAATGTTATTTTTGCAAAAAAATAATTGGTTTTTCTAATCAACGGTAGTTTAATTCGTGCATTTGTTCGCTTGAAACGGCAGACGAAAAGGAACAAAAACACTTATGCATCAGATAATAGATTGTTTTAGAGGACAAAAGTCTTTAACGTTGGTTTTTAGAAGTTTGCTCTTTGTCTTGATCTTGTTCCAAATCCGATCAATTTGCAAACGTTTGAAAAATTTAAAGAACTTATGATCTCTATCTTATTTAACATTATAAAAAGATGAACTTTTTAATAAAACAAAAATTGAGCCTTTAAAAAAAGCCGTCTTTTAACCGTTGACAAATTGGTCGAATCTTTTCTAAGATATACAAAGAGCAAACTTCTAAAAACTAATCTTAAAAGACTTTTCTCCTTGACTGTAAAACAATCTATTATCTATTATCTTTATTATCATCTTTATTATCTTTATGAATGGATATCAATGACGTCACAAAGAGCAAACTTCTAAAAACCAAAAGCCACTAAAACTTAACAGACTTTTCTCTATGACTGTATCGTTATTTTTATCATAGAATCCATGTCTTCTCAAAAAACGAACCTGGAAAAGCAAAGCTCGATCTGATCGATAGTGCTCTGAATCGAGAAGGTATGCCCAGTAGTTATTGTAATATTGCGGGTTACCGGTGAACTGAAAAGTGAGCTAGATTTTTTCAATCTATTGGAGAATTTCTTTACATGAACTGCACTGATAATCGCATTGAATGTCTCAATCGTTTTCGGCTCCAATTCCAACGCGTAAATCCTTTTCTTCATAAAGGCACTTGATTGAACTGCGAAAGTCTGAATTTGGGTATTTGAGAGTTGATTTTTATCTTTGTTGCAGGCTTTAGTCTTAAAGTTAGACTTAGCTGCTCATCACTAGATTTAGCTGATTATTTAGCCTATGCTTAGACTTAGACGTAGATTAACTTAGACTTAGACTTCTACAACCTCACCTCAAGAATTTCCAGTACATCTTTCACCGGAAAAATTCCGAGTTTAGCATTTTTTCGTAAAAGAGGCGGAAGTGCTGGAGGTGGAGGACCATTGGGAAATGGATTGGCTCGTGGGAAAACATTCAATCGTCGTTGCCTGTTTCGTCGTTGCCTGTTTCGGTACTCAAGTCCAAGAGGTTCCGGTAGACGGGGAAGGACGAAATTAACAAAATCCTCATCAGAGATTTCATTTGGTGTCTCCTGATTCCGCATTGTCTCGATGAAGACAAATGAAGAGGCGGACGTCTGCAAATTGTACGATAAGCCGTTCAACTATCAAAGTTCAGCTTCTATGAAGCTTCTTCAACTATGAAACAAAGCTATGACGGAAATAAGCTTTTCTAGAGTTCACTCTCTCTTCTTTAGAAAGTGGATCATTTAAAAAGCTAACGTAATCTTTTTCAAATTTTCCGCTTTTTAAAGATTATTACAAACCAATGCCAAGAATTGACTCATCCCAGCAGGACACTTTTTACATTTCTCATAGCACCAACATCTCCATTCATCGACGATCCATTTAAGCCCGAACTGAACATTTTTGTCATTTGCATTAATTTTAAGCTCACTAGATTATAAACCTAATTTTAAGATTGATAGAATTTACCGTAGATTTTATTTTTACTCGATTAATGAGCTTTTGCAGATTTCGTATACAATTGAAGACAAAAATGACGGCACCAGAGTTTTGCAAAAGAGTGGAAAAGTTGAGAAGGTCCGAATTGAATAGCTGAAGGGTTAAAGTTAAAGTTTTCATTAGATTCACTGGCATATGTTCAATAATATCTTCAAGGATATTCAAGAATATATACCTTGGTCAAGATTTGTTTTAGATTTTGTATCACTGGCAAGTACTTGCATTTAAATTTTTTGATTTCTGAAACTCATCTCTTCTTCTCTTCGAAAAAAAAATTGTTGAAAAACTTCAAAACCCGTCTTCGACCGAATCCCTAATTTAAATAAGACCACCGAGTTGATGTCTATGGTGCACCGAGTTGATGTCTGAGCCGGGTTGATGACTATTTACAGCTGCCAAAGTTTTCTAGATCACTAGATCTCATCCCCCACTCAACACTAGATCTCATCCTCCACTCAACACTAGATCTCATCCTCCACTCAACACTAGATCTCATCCCCCACTCAACACTAGATCTCATCCCCCACTCAACACTAGATCTCATCCCCCACTCAACACTAGATCTCATCCTCCACTCAACACTAGATCTCATCCCCCACTCAACACTAGATCTCATCCCCCACTCAACACTAGATCTCATCCTCCACTCAACACTAGATCTCATCCTCCACTCAACACTAGATCTCATCCTCCACTCAACACTAGATCTCATCCCCCACTCAACACTAGATCTCATCCTCCACTCAACACTAGATCTCATCCTCCACTCAACACTAGATCTCATCCTCCACCTCAACACTAGATCTCATCCCCCACTCAACACTAGATCTCATCCCCACCAACACCAGATCTCACCTCCACTCAACACTAGATCTCATCCCCCACTCAACACTGATCTCATCCTCCCTCAACACTAGATCTCATCCCCCACTCAACACTAGATCTCATCCTCCACTCAACACTAGATCTCATCCCCCCCCACTAGATCTCATCGTCAGTACATTTTTCGACTCCACATCAATAGGTTCTGATAAGCGATTTTTGAGATTTCGAGGAATTTAGGCGACGCTTAGGGTGAATAGAGAAAATCGGTAATTTTTTTGACTTTTTTTAATGAATAAATATAGGAAATAAATTCATTTAAATAGTTAAAGCTATTAATTAAATGAATCTTTTTATTTCTAGGTTGTGGTTTTGCTTTAAATGTTTGTTATCCGATTTGGGATTTGGGGCCTCGTTTGTTCGCTTCTTTTAACTAACATCATCGATAATCGATCAAAAATCGACCATTTTGATAATCGAAACTTTTTGGATCAAAAACAAACCGTGACATTTTGATAGGGGTTTTCAATTGGGAAGGTATGCACTCGGAGTAAACGGGGTCGAATCGTTTTTGTCAATTGAAAGATCACAAATCTCTCGTCAAAGTCTTCAGTGATCAGAAAATTCTTGTTTCCACTGCAGAAAAAACTCATCAATGAATGAATGAAGTTGAAATTTACCCAAACAGTTGCGAGTGGGTGATTTTGATTTTCTCTTCTGTTCCTTCTGTATTCCTACTGAACGAGATCGCGAAATGTCCATCGCGACTGTTCCAGAGTCTGATTTTCACCTGAGATCCTCACATTTTCATGGTTTAATAGTAAAATCTCTATTTTAGAATATTAATGCAATCAATCTTAAATCAATCTCATTTTCCTTGGACAAATTTGATTTTTAGGTAATTTATTCAATGTTTTTTACCTGATTTTGCGTGCCGCTGAGGTGTGCTTGATCGATTTTTCGCGGCAACAGACCCACTTTATTCACCAAATCTTTTGTGCCCTAGAATTTGATGTTATGAACGTTTTTTGATTGTTTAAAGTCAAAGACTATTTCAGTTAAAATAATCAATCAATCCAAATCAATCAATCAATCAATGAATCAATCAATCCAAATCAATGATCAATCAATCCAAATCAATGAATCAATGAAAGTAAAAGAATGAAAAGAATAGGTTTCTTTCCATTTCCTAATTTTCACTCACTGAATTGATCCCCCTGATCAGCACTTTCTCATTTGTAGAGAGTAGCACGAAGATATTCAGCTTCAGCAATAGGGGCAATGCTTCGACCGGGAATTCCTTCATTGAAATGAATTTACAGATTATAATAAATAAAGAAGAAAATCTTTTTGGCTTGGTTTCGGCAAAAAGAAAAACTTGGCAGTGGTTCTCTTTTTGAAAGACGCGACGCAACCGCTTTCGCCTTGTTATCTAGCG